AGAAGAAATGCCAGATGTCATATACTCGCCTTATAATGTCACAGTGTCATTAGTGAGATTCAATAACCTTGAGGGAGTACAGGTTCCTTGTGAAGAATGTCAGAACTTGACGTTAGCGCTTGCTTATAACGAGTCAAGTGTAGATGTCGGTTCTTTGGACACCTTTTACAACAAATTTAATGTACCTACATATGAGTAAGTTCAATGGTTAATAATGATATATAATTTATTTTTATATCCCATTCAGACTAGCTTCGCATTGCGATCGGTTGTAGCAATTGCAACACCCAATCGCACCCAATCGCAAAGTAAAATTGTGTCTGAAAGCTCACCAATAGTAGTTGATAAGTAATCGAGTTTGCAATTGTTGCGATTGGGTGCTACAATCTTTATTACTCCCAATTACCACGGAATCCGATCGCAACAGATTCCACTGGCACTGATTGGCTGAGGTCAAACAAAACAGGACGACCTATATCTTTGCTAGTGATGTAAAGTATCAAAGTAAAAAGGTGTCTAAATGCTGTCAAAGTTTGCGAATGGTTGCAAACTCTTTACCACCGATTACATTGCAACCGGTCACAATGCAAAGTCTAGTCTGAATAGGGTATTAGATACAGTAAATAAATAAAGAAATTAAATAGATAGCTGCTATAAAATTTCTGATGCTAACTACAGCCTTAACTGGTTCAAGCTGCTCCTTCTTTAGGGTTTGGATGGTTGAGTCAAGTCTTCTCTGATAAAGTCCATTCTACATATCTGGCTCGACCCATTGCATCGTCAGGTAGTGGGGGAGTTGTCCCAATGCTATAGTTGTTTTCGGTCCCTTTTATGATTTGTACATGCAGCTACTATAAGCACCTCTTTACAGTGTCTAGGTAACCATAGACCACGCCCATACGTGTTTCAGCACAGTGATGCTACCTTTGTCCTTTATATCTCAATTGTAACTCATTAGTAATTACAAGAATAGGGGAGACTGATTTGCTAGCTTCAATATCCACACTTGGCAACTTCTCCAACGCTCAGTAATCCTTCGTTCGAGCGAAACCAACTGAATTGTAATACCAACTCAAAGGAAAAGTGACTCATGGTTTCTATTAGAGATTTTACGGAATGTTAAATTATTTAACAAAAATCATTTAATAATGATTGTATTTATATTTTATAGTCTTGAGGATGGTACGGAGTATCGTTTCTTGGTGGAGTCTTCAACGCCGTACTTTACGGCGCTGTCTGTTATTCACGTTGGAATGCCTTCGTCAGCGGATGATGAAGTGGTGTTTGCTGCTTTAATTTTGATCGGTGTCTATATTCTAATTGGTTTTGAGGTTTGTGTACAAATTGTATTATTGCAAATATTTTTTTTTTTCATAATTATTTAATACAGGTCTCCCTCCACTTAAAGACCACTTTTGGAACCAAGGTTTTAGTTGTTGTTAGCAGCTTTTGTCTCTAATTCTCTCTAATTAAAACAGGAGCACTAAAAGCGGTCTTTAAATATTTCTGCTTAGAGGGAAATTAAGAAATGTAAATGAAATAACAATTGAATTTCAAAATAGTCTGGAGAAAAACTGAATTGGAGGGAACACCTAATAATTGAAGATATGCATTCAACTGTGCCATAGAAAAGTGGAGGAATCTTTAATGGGAGTGTGAGGATCAGGTCAGCTTTGAAGCAATAAAGGAAACCAACAACCATTAAATTACTCAGCAGAAATATATTCAATGATAGCCATTCCTACTTAACTATAAAGTCACATTGCCAAAACCACCAAAATCACAGTTGTGTTATCGATATCTTGCAACATCTAATCTTTAAACTACAATTACTTCCCTAACATATCATCATAACGCCACTCACTACAATTACACCCTTAACATAACATCATGACACCACTCAACCACCTTGACTTCCACAACGCACCACACATTTCCGAATTAATGGTTATTGCCTTTAGGATTCATGTACCATCACCCCCTGTACCTCAGACAGCCGTCACCCCTTCTACTACCCCTGTTCAAACACACACTGTTTCCCAGTCTACCACAATTTTGTGTGCTATGTAGGACTGTCACTAATTCCCTAATCGTGCCTTACCCTCAATATTGCATTCGGCTTGACTCATTAAGCACTTTACAAATAACCATTAACGCATGGAACCAAACACCCTTTCTCTGACGCACAAGTTCTGGTATTTCAATTACTAGTATTTCGCCTTTGAAATTCACAATCATATAAGCTACAATTCCAATGGTTTACTACTTAATTCATTTGCCCATTAACCATTAATCATGACATTTGAGTTACAAACATATAAGTAACATTTTAACACTCCTAGCATTCTAACTTAACATGTGTTCCGCATACACGGTCATGTTGTTTAGTTATCAATGTTCATTTCTGTCATACGTGCAGTACAATTAGTGTTCAAAAGTACTTGTTCTCTGTATCAGTCTTTGCCTGCATGCTATCCTACAAAATAAAGTACATTATTCAACCTTGTTTCGTTGTTCCAATTGCAATCTGATACCAATCCACTTGACTAAATAGGTGTTCCGCGGCCTGGCTTGATAAATGGTCCAATTGTTCCTGGTATTTTCAGTTCCAATATCCAGTTGTTGCACAACTTGTAGTGTACCACCTTGGTTTATCCAGTACCTACAAAGACTTGGCCACTGGCACACATTCAAACACCATAACATTTAAGCTTTCAAGCCCCTTTGACCTAGCTAGGAAGACCACCTCACTCCAGCCTACTAGACTACCAACTCCCCTCTCTAGAGCATTCAATTCAACCACTGAAGCAGGCCAAGCTACACAATTTGCATACTAACCTTCACTGCACCTGCATCACCAAAGACATCATTACTGAGCATGCAGATCTATACAATTCACACACCAACACTCATTTCATGACAGGGAGGGAGACATGTATATTAATTATTTAATTTCAATTATTGTTTTTTAATTTTTTAAACAGTTTCTTTTATTAATTCTATTATTATTGACTTATATTTATTATTCAATATTATTTATTATTTATTGTTACTGTAATATTATTGATGATTATATATTTTTGATTATTAATTAATAATATCTACTGTATTATTTTTATCATTATTGCCGTCATCATTATATTATTAAGATTTTCATTATGGCTATTTCCTCTAATGTTATAATTCAATTTCTAACCCCTTGTTTTTATTATCCTCCAGCTGGTTCATCGTACGATAGCCTCGTTCTTGGGGGCAATGGCTGTTCTTACCGTCCTTGCAGCATTCAATGAGCGCCCTACCCTTGATAAGATCATGGAGTGGGTTGATTATGAAACACTGGCATTGCTCTGGGGAATGGTAAGCCACTGCTGAAGTATTCTAATCCAGGCATACAGCATTAAGATCTGTCAAGACTTTCAGTTATTTGACAATCATGTGACATGCCTAAATATGGTCATGATTACATCTCATCATGACCATATATAGGCACATCATGACTATATATGGGCATACAACAGTGTTTGGACAGGGATGTAGACTGATCAAATTAAATGGACTAGGTTTTTAACGTCTATATCTTTTGTGTACTCATTGACGCATGTTCAGTATCTGAATTTTAAAGATTAAAAATAAATTATTAGTGTATAATACTGGTTATTATTGTAATTTCTGTTATGTATTATATAGTGCATAATGACTCACCAGAGTTAATCTAGTTACTCCTTTCTACCACTTCCATTTCTCAATTTT